TTGCAAAACATTCTAGCACTGAAGATGTTCCCTAGCCAGGTAACGAAACATTTGCAAGAAAACAGCCAAGCGCAGAGAACCCCAAGGACTCCATAGAATGGAACAGTTGGAAGGGATCTTGAGGATCACCTAATCCAACCCCCTGCCCAGAGCAGAAATCCTCTCTATAGCATCCTTGGGATCTGGGTATCCACCTCTCCAGCCAATAATGCAACAGTCAAAAATAAGAGAAATCATTTTTTAAATTGCATGCAAAGAAAGTTCTAGATTACTTTTTCTCGCAGTAAAAAAATATGAGGAATGTTCTTCTAGGAACAGTAGAACTTTTTTCTTTTGGGGGATCAAGTGATGACATTTGCATGCAAAGCTGTATTTTAAGGGGTTGATTATCTCTTTGGGAGAATACACGTAAAAACCATTCGGAAAACCTTCTTTCACCTGCAGTTTATTGCAAAAAGTATGTAGATAGCATGAACTTGTGAATTGCTCCTAAGACTGGAGTGATGGTGGATTTGGAAGCACCGTGATATTATTTCTGTAGTACACATTTTTTACTGGTGAAAATTAGTTGAGAAATAGGTTTGTAGAATGCTCCAAAACTGCAAAAGGTTGTTTTGTTTAATAAAATAAATGCATATACAAAATTTCAACCTCTGTCTCCCCCCCAGACCATTTATCCCCCCAAAACGCAGGGCTGCATTTTCTGACATGAAATTGGTAGAGACCGATTTCACGGGTCATTCCCACGATGAAGGGGGTTCTACTTTCATTTCTTGTATCATGCCAAGCCATGTTCAGAATTGCTCGTAGGTTTTAGTGACAGGAACTTTTTACAGAACAAGGTTTCTAAGAGGGTAAGAGAGAAAGAAGGATATAAACCACCATGTAAAGCTTTTCAATAAAAATCATTCTGTATTGCAACCTTCAGTAGGCAAACACAGACAAAACGCATTCAGGTTGTTTCATAACACTTACAAAGCTTTCTTCACAAGGTTATTACTACCACAGTTCCTACATCAACTTACTAAACTGACAACTCTATAATAATAAAGGCGCAAAATATTGCTTCATAGCATATTTTGAAAATAATATAAAAATAATTTCTATATTATAATTTAAACTTGGCTTGTAAAATTCCAACACAATACAGCCTTTTATGTCTACAAACAAAACACTTACAAACACCTTCCTTTAAGGGATTCTTGTTAAAAAACAGTATATTATTATTATCATTATTATGTTTCCTTCGTTTTAAAAAAAGAACCATCATGTATACAGGAAAAGCAAGTGTGCAAACAACTGATTGAAGTAATTTGAATTCCAGGCCATGTTCTACTCAGCAAGAACGCCGTGAATTTTGCCAGACCTTCAAATCAAGATGGTTGTACGTTGCGAAAGATTCAAACACAGTCATTGCTGACAAGCCATTCAGAATGAAGGACAGCTATCATTTTTCACCGCTGGTTCTTTACCCCAAGATCAAGCCTTTTTCCTTAGAAGGGAGGAGATCTGCAGTCCACCACTATGGTAAATTACTTCTTGATACCCTCGCAATAGACTCTTTGAGATCAACAGAATTGAATGGATACTCAAAATATGATAAACCCATTCTTAGATTGGGATTTGGGGGATGACAGCGAGAAGCATGAAATCTATAACTCTTAACCAAAGCAAGATTCCTGTCTGAAATGATTTATTTTCATAAATTTGGTACATAGCGCAATTGTAGCATGAGAGGGTATTTGATTTCTCTTTTAGGACGTGTCACAGGTTGTCGTTATTCTCATCCCATGGTTGGTCAGCAAGATGGAGAAATAATAATATGACAAAAAGCAAGAAAGCAGAAAACATTTCGGACTTAAAAAAAAAAGGTATATTCTTCTACCACCATTGTTATGAAGACATTATTCCCAATTTGGACCTGACATTCCAAACAATATGATTTTGATTCTTTTTAGAGTGGATTTAGATTTATTTCAATTTGTATATTCTGGCCCTTGTTGAAAGTTTTGTATCTGTGTGTATTTGTACATACATATCTACAGATGCAGTGTACAGAATTTGCCCTAAAGGTACAGCATGTTGATATGTACCTGCTTTTAACTGCAACGATCAGGAAAAATGAAAACTCTTATGAAGTTGACCTCATGTCCAACAACTCACTCTGCATTTTTCCCAAACTTTCAGGAAATGTCTCTATCTTCTTAGGCATACAATAAGAAACTCAGGAATGCTCCTAAGCAGCCTGTGGCGCTTTTCAACATTTTGGGGACTATATCCCTCATGTTATATTTAACATCAGGTTTTTCAGAGGGAGAGATTGAGCCGAATTTTCATTGGGATGTGCATGTAACCCTGCACAATATTTTCTCTGCAGAATTTGATTTTTTTCTTATCTTCTATGTTTACAAGTGATAGGTGGGCTCACAGAGTCTCTTGTAATGTACGAGGGAGATAATGTGTGATTATTTGGAAGGGAAATGGAGGGTAAATCAACCACACACATTATTCACACACTCTGTTGACCCTGTGCCAAGGCCCTGATTTAATCTGAGAATGAGACTGCGTGTTGCGTTCGAGCAGCGTTTCTCAACCTTGGCAACTTGGGAATTCAGGGAGTTGAAGTCCACACATCTTCAAGTTGCCAAGGTTGAGAAACACTGAGTTAGAGGAATGCATATTGAGTTAGAAGAATTTATACACAGTGTTCCCAGAACTATTGGGGTACAATTGCTCTACCACCTTTCCAGAATTTTAATGGGAGGTCCGGACACATCAACTTGTATTTGTCATCTTGCAATCCACTCATGTTTTCCCACTCTTTCCTGTTTTTTTGCCTTGATCAGAATATATACGTATATAAAATTAAGTTAGGAATGAATAGTTGCAGATGCATTTTAAGTGAAAGCATGATGTGTTGTCCACATGGAAGCATCCACAATCTTTGGGTTTTGGAAAAGTAATAATATAGCCTGGCCTTCATTATTAGTATTGTTATTATTATTCTGCAAGAAGAACAATGGGGAAGGGCACCAGCCTCAGAGAAAATTCTTGCTTCCCAGTTCATTTGCTTCTAATGACGGTTCAGTTATGACCTGCTGCAAAACTTTCTGTAGATGTGCTAGGAAACATCTACCACACACAACACAACTTATCTGTAAACACAAGTGTAGCATGTTTTATTCATTCATTAGCCCTTTTAAATACTTCTTTTAAGTGTATTATTACAAAGTATGAGAATGCCTATGTATCATTTGCTTATAATCCTTCACTTAGCCTCTTGTTCCATAGAAGAAAGGCTGAACATTTTGCATAATTTTTGTCTTTTAATAACATTAGTACAATGGCTCAAACCTGTCAAGAAAACAGCCTACTTTCTTCAATGCAACTTTCCCCTATTATTTATGTATATTTTAAACATAACTCTGTTTTCAAAATGTATTTGTAAAAACATCGCTTTGTCCTGGAACAGTTAGCAACACTAATTACATTCAACCACTGTTCCGAGGTCTGACACACCAAATGAATCCACCAGCAAAACCTTTTCCACAAGTGCCACTGAAATGACAGTTGTTCTTGAGAGACTCCTGTGCATTTCAGCAGGGCTTGTGCAGAAATAAATTCAGTAAAACTGAATCTACCTTTTGCACAACAGCCTCTGACATAACCCACCCCCAACTCCGATATCTACATTGGAACTGTTTTTGCACAACTCTGCATTCTTGACTCAGAATTAGCTTCCCAGAATAACCATAGCCCTTAACACACTGAATTGTCTACCATATCCACTTGTCCCACCCCTGACCCAACTCACAAACTCGTACAAGAAAAATGGAATAAAACAGTAGTGTACGTATTACGGGTATGTGCATATGTTTGTATGCACATGTATTCACACTCACAGAGAGAGAGAGAGAGAGAGAGAGAGAGAGAGAAATTTTCTGGTAAAATATACTTTAGCTTCTACAAAATACAATCTCTCAGGAATAGAACGTTAATCTACATGGAAAAAGCAATTAACAATTTATAGTTTTGAGTCAATTTTTTAAAAAAATCTCTACGTAATCTTTCATAAAAGAACCCTAGAAACAATGAAGGTGAGGCTACTCATGAACGTTCATTAGCTCCTGTTTGGCGTATTCATTTGAAAAAGGAATCTGAATCATAAGGTTACTAGTGACCACTGTTTCTCCATGCTCAGTTCTGATTTTGGAGGAGTAATACACGTGCATTTCTCCTACTTTTCATCTGTGGTCAGGGTCCTCAAGAAATGTCCCCACCACCGTTCATGCAACTTGAGCCTGGGGTCTCATCCAGTGTTCTACCACATCCTGAATGTGCCCAGTCTCAAAATCCCATTCAGGCACACAAAGGAATATGGGCATGTGATGTGGCTCTGTGGCTGGTTAGCAACATGAAGTCTGGTAGAGAAACAGGAAGACCTTCTACTCTTCGAAGGTTAAAGAGTTGTTTTCCGGCTTAAATACAACTTTCTCCTCAAATTCCAGCAACTTTTCACACATTCCACTTATTTCTAGCTTCATTTCTGTAACTGTAAGTGGTGGTAGTACGAGGGGGCTCAAAACATTTTTTTTTTGGAGAACCTCCACTAACTGTTGCTTTCTCCCTATTTCAAGGGTTTGCGTTTGCATAGCTCTAGTTCATAGCAATTATACTTTTTGAAATAATTTAAGGATTAGGGTTCAAATCAAATTGAGAATAAGAGGCTCAGGAAAGAGTGGAATGACTCATCTGGGCACTTGCTACTTTGCCCCCAGGGCAGAACATGGATTATTTCATGACTTAAGACTGGCAACATTTCTGTATGTATTGCTTGTTGGCGTGTATGTCTGTGTGCATGCACCTATACATCATTTTGAAAAGACATCGTTACAAAAAGCTCTTCATCTAAGAAAGCGGTCTCTGAACCAAAGGAAAACGGAGAACATAGTAATGACTGTTTTTAATAACCAATGTCACCTACGTTAGTATTTATAGGGGCATTGAGGGCCGTTCCTTTACAAATGCATCAGTAATAACTAGTATTTGCTTAATTCCCCACCCCACCCCCAAAAAACAACGTCCAATTTCTTTGTTTCTCTCTCTCTCTCTCTCTGAGATACAATCACAGGTTGCTCCATCTGGTACCACAGTTTCTTTGGCCAAAGAAATGAATCAGCAATCACCACGACCAAGGAGAAGCCTTCTTCAGAACTGGGGGAGACTCTTACGAATGAACTGTGCACAAAGTCCAAGAGTCAGAGCAGCCCCCTCCCACATCAGTTGAACATCTTGATTCTAAAGTGGAAGCACAGAAAGGGCAAAAAAGACATCCTAACGTGGTCTTTCTCCAGCTCTTAGAGGACAACACCGACAAAAAAGCCAGTTAGTATTAATAACACAGTCAATCCCCTCTTTTTTGTACAGATTTCCCAAAGACTAGGAATCAGCTTGGAATCAGGATCTCTGTACACACCCTGGTAAACTCTTGTGGTGCGTGGGCCCATAGATGTGGTAACCCAACTGCATTTATGGGAAAAAGTTGGTCTTAATGGAGAAATACCACACCTTATGTAGACTTTCCAAAGATACAGAAACTGCAAGGCTGGATTCATGAGGAGCTGTAGTCAAGCATTATTCAACCTTCCAAAATTAAAATATTTAAGAGATGCTAAGGAAGATTTCTTATTCATTTTAAATTCCAGTATGAATGCATAAGTGATGGATTCTACAGAAGAATTACTACAAGACCAGTGAAATGCATGAGTAAATAACCATGAACAAAAGGCACCATTATTTTATATTTAGGTATGCAGAACCGCATATAAAATGTAAAATGATGCATGGTCCTGAGTAAATCTTTTCTTAAGGAACCCACACAGATGTAAGAATTTAACAGCAGGATCCTTAATGAGCTTTTCCAAATCGCTGTGAGGTTTGAAGTTGCTGTCAGGATGGGGACGAATGGCATTAGGTCTTCCTTCTCCTTTTATCAGATGTAATGAGATCCCAGGAATGGAATGGATGTGGATGTATAGGCTGAAATTTAACTTAGGCCAGATGTGGACAACGATTCTCTTAAGAGTGAGGTTATACTGGTCTATATGGGGAATGGAGCACATTGTGAGGAGCCATATGCTCCTCTTAGGTATGCCGATGATGATGATGACAACAACACAAGAGGACAGGAAGGAAGTCTTCTCCTAAATTACGGATTGTATCATGGTTTTTATTAGAAACAATTTGCTTTGAAAAGTAGGGCGAAGGAAGATAAAAGTTCCTGCCATCTGAGGTCTTCCTAACTTTATGATTTAATCTAAACTTGAATCAGAAATGATGGAGATACCATGACTATTACCAGAAATAGATGGAATGGCTTTCTCTGAAAGACCACAACTACAGCTGAGGCATCTTCCCAGACTCAAGACTCCAAGGAAAAAAAGATCAGCGTGGAAACTAGCATCGCTTCTCTATGAGTTTTGACCACTTCATCAGCTGTGAACGGATGCTATGGAACGTTCTCAGTTATTCACATTCTGCCTACACTAAGGCCAGAGGCTGCTTCTGAAGATGGTTTAGTATCTTCAGATGATGGAGACGACCACTGGCCCAGATGTTGACAATGGCTAAACGTTCAGATGTGATACCAATTTGGAATCCACCGCAAAATTGTCTATTTCTTTGCAAGACCAATTCTGGGACTAGGTTATACAGGCAGCTGGGAGCTTAGAAGATCCCGTTTTTAGACCTTGGTTGGCAGCAAAAAAACCCCAATATGCCATTATTTTGCCAACTGTTTATTTCCTTTTATTCTACTCTGCTAATCGTTATGGCTAATTTTAACACTGATTTATATTTTCAACGGACTTTACTATTTAATGGATGCTGGCTGGATGCTGGCTACAGAGATTGCCATTTTTTAAAATAAATAGTTCAGGGGTGTCCCATTTATACAATATCAGATCCGTGTCAAAACAATGTGATACATCTAAAAAAGTATCTAAGTTATCTGGCTGGTTTAGTAATCAACAATCCCAGCTTCATCTGAGTTTTCGAAATAATTGCGTAAGTAAATTCAGGCGCTCATCCTTTTTCTGAATTCGAGTTTCAAAGGACCACATTTGAGAACGTGTAGAAAAACACACACAGAAAAACCCCATAGCTTGCTTTTCAAAAATACGTGTCCATAATTTAACATCAGTGCAAATGAATACAAACCACTTGTTTCTTCTCTGGAAAGGGAAGGACCTGGGCTACAGATCGTCTGGAGCATACCGTCATCCAGAGAGGTCCAAGGAAATAAAATAACTAAATAACGTGGCACTAACAATATTCCTAAACTCAATGAAATGGTATAGCCTGCGCCGAAGGGCATAAGACTGCAAGCTGATGGCATCAGGGTTTGTGCTACCCTGACATTAAAATATAAAGTGCTTATTTTTAACACGAGTAGAGCCTTATTTTAAATAAAAACTGGCCAAGTTGTGCAATTTAAGGATAGACCTTTTCATCTCGCCAGCTTTGACAAAACCGGTTTGCTTCCATGAATGAAAAAGCACATTTCGGTTGGGGGAGAAAAGCTGCACTCATGGATCCATACTTTCATTTGTGTATCTATGGAAAAACGGGGTTACTCAAACAAAAGTTTATAGCAAGGATGTTAGCGGGTTAGTATGCACTAAATACACCTTTACTAGGCTTGCTCCCTTGTTAAAAAAGAACGGAGAGAGAAGAAGCGCGATGAAACATGAGATGTCTTCCGGGGAGACGGACATCTGCCCTGGGACGAGGCAGACACTTCTGGACATTGACCACACCGCCTCTTCTATTATTATGACTTTTCCCCTAATCTTTCTACTACCTGAGTGATGTCAGTGTGAATTCAGGCACCATTAGTAAAGTTTTGACCACACAGATACAGCACTGACAAAGAAGTAAATAGCCTCTCGGATTACCAGCGTATGTAAAAAAGACGCCAACAAAGTGGAGAGCCATCAACTCTTTATGATAAATTAATCCTCGCTTTTCCCCCCACCACCCCTGAAAAAAAATAAGCTAGAACCTTCTCTCTTTAGATCCTGCTAGAGAATTCCCCTTTTCCTTCCTCCGCAGTCCCTTACCACATACGTCCTAAGTAAGAAAATGAACGAAATAAATATTTATTGGAAGAGCTCCACCGTCTTCAATGCCGCGACCCTTTACTTTCTCGCTCCCTGCGTTTTAGTTCCTCCTTGTAGCAGCAGGAACAGAAGTTCTTGGTTTCGGGGCGGCCGTAAAAGGAACAATTCTCTCTCTTGCAGCGGCTCTGCTGGATCGAATACGTGGGGCAGACCGTGGCCCTGCTGCGGTTTTTGTCATTGTTCGACCACGTTTGCGGAGCTTCTTCGTCCACGAACTCTAAGCCGTCTCTGATGTGACTGCCATTAAACCCATTGGTGTATGTTTGTGACTTGGAGTCCGTTGGCAGAGCGTAGGCCAACGATTCCACCGTGTTGACCGTACGAATGTCTGCTATCCGAGCTGGACTATAACTCTGTGAAGACAATGAGCGGTTCTGCTGAGGATACGTGGCACATGTTTTCAGGGTGCCGACTACAGGTTTGTAGGCATCATCTTGGAAGCTTGATGACTTGGAGTTGAACTCGTGCAAGTGAATGACGCTCTGCCTTTGAACGGGGGGCGTATGGCTATAGTGGGCAGATACTGGAATGGGTCCACTTTTCTTGGCACCATTGCTAGGTGAGGAAAATGACCCTGGTATGGGACTAGCACGGTCTTTGAACTTTAAAACCAGCTGAGTGGTATGGCTTTGAGGCAACACTGGTGATGCCCTCCCCTGAGGAGATGAATCCAGCTTCTCCTTTGAAAACCCTTCTTGTTCCAGTTTTCTACACGATGAGCCACTGAGAGTAGCGGCCTTCTTCTCCGCCTCTTTCCTTTTCTGCTCCTGTTCGGCGCTGAAGCGCTCTTGGGCACTAGTCAAATAATAGCCAATCATCTCCTCGTGGAACTGGTGTCTATGGCTGGTCAGGAGAAGGCCAGCGAAAATGAACTTCCGCTCCCCTTGCATGGCAGCTCGCAAGATGTTGAGGCTCAGCTTCACGTCGGTGCTGTACTTCCAGGGGTCCGACTGCTTCTCTGATGGAGATTTAGAATTTGCTTTTTCAGCAGGGGAGATGCTTGCCTTCTCCGTGGGAGAGGGGGTCTTTTCCGAGGGGGAAGTGCTGGCTGAGTGGCCCGATTCCTCTTTGCTTCCTTTACGCGATTTGGATTTCTTCTCCTTCGCCTTCTCTGTGATCTCCCCGTTTTTTCCATTCCCTGAATTGGCTCGGTTGATCTTGCCATGCACTAACCCGCCGAGGCCACCCATGTTTTTCTTCAGCTTGATGCCCAGAGTCTTACTGAGGCTTCCAAGTTTATTAGCCATGGAATCTCCTCGGTTCTTCTCTTTGTCCTTCCTTTGCTTCTCCTTCTCCTTCCCGTTTTTGCCATTATTGCCGTTAGAATTGCTACAGATGGAATCTCTGTCTGAATCCATGGAATCCACCAGTGACTGAACATCTTCTCCGGCTGATGCGGTAGGAGACTCCGGTTGAGCCAAAGGGGCCTATTGGGAAAAGCAGGTCAACAGTTAGAAATCAAGAGCAATCGTACACAGTGTGCCTCCATAAGAAACCTCTGTACATTGGCATGCAGATTTTTCAGAATCCCTCACTTCTGGAAAATTAAATTGTCTTTAAAGGCATGGGTTGTGCATGGCATCTAGTTAACAGCACACCGAGATGAAATGCCATATTGGCAACTGGCTTAATCTTTGGAAAACATCTCCTTGGCTTTCATTCCCCAAGCTGGTTCTTTGGGGCATGATTCTCTTGCAATTATTGCCAATACATGCAGGGAGCATCGGAGCATCTTTGAAATGGGGGTGATGGGAAAACAGTAGAGCTAATTTGCGAGTGTTCCCATCTGAAGCCTCAACAATCATTGTGATAGGTCATTAGATAGGGCTGATGTGTTTTGGGGGACAGATCTGAGAACTGAATAATGGGTTTAAGGATGGAATTTCTCCATCAAACGTATCAGCTCAGCTTCCCGAAGTTTTTCGGCAAACAAGGCATGGCTTAATGGGCTGATATATCAGAAACCGACTTAATCTTGTTATGTGTTTAGTTGCTCAGCACTCATGAGACATTACGCTTTAGAACACATGGAAGCACATCGATCCATTCCAATCTGGTCACTCTAGGGAGCCTCATTCTGCAGGAACAATGCTAGATAAATTCAAGGACAACCAACATCTACCAAGCATACCCAACAAACTTAGGTGCACCTGAGATGACACTCTCTTAATTCAAGGCGAGAGGTGGCAAGCATCTTAAGATAAGCCATAATGCCAAGAAGGTGACCATGGATGGATGGCAGTTGGGTCTTCCCGTCAAAACAGGTAGGAAGGACAGATGTGTGACGTGCGTTACCTTCCTCTACTCAGCCTCCACATGTTTTTAACCAAATGAATGGCTGTAGTTCCTTGGACTAACTAAAGGGAATGAGGTAGGAATGACTTTAGCCAGCTTTGGAGGGAGCTGAGTTTCAGGCATGGATGCAGAAGGCAGATCAAAGGACTGGCCAACCATTAGACCAACAGCGGAGTAGGTTAGTCATTTGCATCTGAGATGAGGCAGTGGATGTTAACATTTTATACAGTTATGCACTGACTTAACCTATTTCTCCTGTTTAGCCTTCATGCCCCGTCTGAAGTAAAGCTGATGCTACAACATCAGACTAGGTCATCCAGCTAAGCAAAAAGTGTGGGCGATTTCTAGAAGCCCCTTAGCTTCTTCCCACCTTCCAAACAGTCCTCCTGTTCTCCCGTGCAGAAATCGCTCCCGTAACACAACTGGCCGTGATGCAGCGCTGTGCCCTCGTGCTAAGGCCCAGCCCTTGGTTATCGGTTTTTGAGCACACACGCATGCCAAGCAAGCGGGAACTGATTTCTCTCAAGCGACTCAGGCAAAGGAAAAGAGTTACTTACCCGTGTTTCTGATGGCATGCGGATCCAGGTTACATTCATGTAACTGTGCAGAAGGTTAAGCTTTGCCTCCAGAGACAGAATCAGACTGAGAAAAGAGAGAGAGAGAAGGTGCCACGCCACGTTCGTTACTCAGAAGGAACCGCCGGAGAGGCTTACAGTGCAAAAATGATCTCTCTAAACTATTACAAGGGGAGGTCTGGGACCAGAAAGGGAAGGAAAAGGGGATTCTCACGAGGGTGCAAAACAGACCGCGTTCACATCTCCTCTGGTGAGACGCGAGCGAGATGTGGCTGGGCCACCCAGCGCCAGAGCTCGGGTTGCTCCCCTAGGTTTGCGATCTCGATTACACAAAGGCTACCAAGCGTCATAGACACACAGAGGCTGCTTTTGAAATCTTAGGGACTAAAAAGAGTCTTACTTGGCCAATTTGGTGTTATCATTGTCATCCTTCCCCCATTCCCAGTCTTTTCCCGGATCAACCGCAAAGTGCAAGGGCAGTAACTTATGTTCAGAATCGGTCAGAGGGATCACCGCTGAAGGAAAGAAGAAAAGATCAGAAATGAAGAAACGGATGCAGAAGAAAGGGCTGGGGGGGGGCGGGGGGGAGAAGCATTTTAGCATTGTAAGGCAGGAGCTGAAGACTGCTTTTCCTTTTCTTCTTCAACCACCTTGCCAAAGTATCTCTCTTTGCAGAAGTCAAACGTGTTATACGATGCACATGCTTTAAGGCAGGGTGTCTCAACCTCAGCAACTCTATGATGGGTGGACTTCAACTCCCAGAATTCCCCAGCCAGCCCTGCGGTTTTCAATTTTCTCTCAGTTTTGCTAAACAGCCTTTCAGCAACAAACAGAAAAGCAAACAAAATGTACCCGCCTTTGTTCTAATAAATTCTCAGTCATCTTTTAAGTTGTTTTTTTTCTGGCCAGGAGTTCCATAACTCGCGTGGCCTCAAGGGCTGAGGAACACCTTCATACCCTTTAGCAATTGGCTTGAGTAGTCTGCCTCACTGGAAAAATACAAGTAAATGTTGACTGCAAATTGCATAAGTTGTCCTGACAGCTGTGGCATGTTGGGAAAAATGCACATTGACATTTCTGGAAAAGGTTAGCACACATGTCTAAGCTTACAGCAGGATTTGCTACATACAGGTTATTTTCTAGAATGCCCGCCTTTGTAGAAACACATATATCATAGGTCAACTTATCCCTAGGAACACACTGCAAAATTCAGGACCAGGAAGAGATTTGGCATCAAAATGTGGAGTCTTGGAACGGCTGAAAATTCAGGATGCTACTATCAACCAGATACCGCGAAAGAATACGAACCGTTCTGGAAAGTCACGTTGGCACAGTGCTTTCAAATGTTCAATGTGTTTCACGTGCATTGGAAAATATCCAAGGCTAACCAGAGAGATCTTGTAGGCAGAAAAACTATTTTCCACAATCCATAAATGCTGCCAGGGAGGGAGAAAATGAAACGGCTTGCAATATTGCCCCCGCTTCGCTAGATGGCACCAACCGTGTAACGCAACGACCCGCTCTAACGTAAAAGCATGGAGCCTCCTGTATAAAAGCAACAGAAAGCTATTGCTTTTTAATTAACTAATTCATTAATCACAGGGGCCAATGAAGCAGCGTGAAATCTGAGAACATCTTATGCGACTTTGTCAAGAATTCTGGGTCACACCTGTACACCGTTCAGTGGCTTTTTGAAATGGTGTCTTGAGGCGAGTGATATTTTAGAAAGGAAAAGAGGATTAAACATGAGACTGGAAGCTCAGAGGAGACCCTTTATCATCAAATAAATTTTTTGCCAACTCTTTTCTTCTTCTGCTCTTTAAATAAAAGGGCAGCACACTGTCTCAGGGGAGGAGTGGCAATGATTAAGCAATCTTTCTTCCCTCCCAGTTCTTCCACTTTTGACTGCAGAATTTCGAGGCTGTTTTTCACAGAAATTTTGTAGGGTGTGGGCAGGGATCTCTGCATTCCACAGTTGGTCATCATATGTGCGAGTAATTTTTTTAAAAAATGGGAATATATACATTCTCATAGAAAAGGAAATGTACGTTCAGTGCATGAATGGACTTTTATTCTCATGGTAGCAGAACAAAACCCACACAGTGTGTGGGAGAGAGCGAGCCAAATTCAAGCTTTTCGTAAGAATACATCAAGATTCGCAGCCTTGGTCCAAAGGAATGAACCCTTCAGTGCAATCAACTTAACAAGTGGAGGGATCCTGCAGAATTTAGTACAGCATGCATCCAGTAATCACTGCAAAACGTGCTTTGCAAATAAAAAAACAGCCCACAGGATCACTCAATCCATTATAAACAGCCTCAAAAGATGCAACTGTAATCCATTCAAACCATGGGTTAATGAACAGGACGAAAACTAAAAACAGCAAAATGCTCAGAATAATTACAGGAAAAACACAGGCAACTAAGAAATCCTTCTGTATTTAGGTGTAGTTCCTTCAGACATTTCAATTTCTTCCCCAATGCAAAGATGAGAATTTCCTACACACCTTGCATTTTTCAGTGACGGTTAAGTCAAGACCCACAAACTAATATGGGAAGAGATCTGCAGGAACAAGGGTTCACAAATGGACAGCTGCATGTAGGAATGTGCAGCGAGAAATAATTTAAAAATCAAAACATCCAGAAGCAAATTTGCAAAACAGCCACCTCAGGGACATTTGCCGCAGAAGGAATGTGCCCTTCCAATACAATCTTTCGCAGTGTGACACACTCTTTGAACAAGTAAAGAAGGGCTAATGAAACAGTAAATAATGAAATGGGTGGAAGTCAAGTTAAAACTGTGATTTAACAGTAACAGCTCCAAATGTGATGAGACATTCTTCTGTATCCGACCACCGCAATCAGCCCCTATAAAGGGGACAAGAACATTTGCAGAAATATCAGAAACCTTTAGGAAAAATAATCTTTAGGCAGCAACTCTTCCTTTCCAAAAAACAACGGAGAACATGAGCAATAAACTGAAATCCCAGCCAGCGTATAACCCTAATCCATAAAACAACCAAGGTAAAAACCATTCTATAGAACGTTAGCACACATGTCTAAGCTTACAG